AAAACTCTTTCCACACAAATAACATGAATGTGGGTTCTCCTTTGTATGAACTCTCAGGTGTTTCTTCAGGTATGAAGCCCACACAAATGTTTTGCCGCACTGATCACATATGTACAGTTTCTCTCTAGTGTGGATGTTCATGTGTATCTTAAGGTGTGATGATTCTTTTCAGAGTTGCTGACCGACTGAATCTCTTGTTACAGTGTGAACACTTGTATGGTTTCTCTCCAGTATGAACTCTCATGTGAACATCAAGATTATATTTGCTTGTCAAACTCTTTCCACACTGAGTGCATGTGAAAGATTTCTTGTCTCTTTTTTTCTTTAAATCTTTCTTTGGGTGTTTGGTTTGAGAGCAGCTCAAGGGTTTTTCTCCAGTTTTGACATGATTTTTCTCCTCAACTTCACTCAGTTCATCATTCTCCTCATTTTCTTCAATTGACTCTGAAATAAAATTTTAAATGGTTCTTTTTTTAGTAACTAAAAAAAAATAAAAACAAAACTGTGAAAGGACATACAAATGTACCCTGATATAACAGCGGAAACAGGGCTGGACGATATGACCTAAAATCAAAACCTCAATTAACTGAACACAACTCGATTATAATTATTCAATGATTATTTTATTTTTAACATTTGTTTATATTCTGAAATGTAAAAATAAATTTCATTTAATTAAATGAATATAAAACATCAATTTGTAAACACATTTTTAGTGTTTTATATACATAAGATACAATAAAAAAAACAAACAAACAAACAAAGTAAAACAAACTGTCAAATACAATAAAACAAAGATACAAATGAAGAAGAAAAAAACAGTGCTTTCATTTTTTCATGGAGGTCAACTAACATTACTGTTCAGGTAAGTAATTCAGCCTACAAAAGAAATCTAATAACTAAATGTAAAATAACACTGCATAGCTTGCACTGTATAATTTGATAGATTAATGCTTATTAAAGCTAACGTTTTTTTAGATTAAGAGCTGTGAGTGATTTTGTTGTTTGATTAACATTGCTGGCCCAATCTTCAGAAGGTGACTGCATATATTGACATCAGATTTTCTTCCAGGTGTTCATGTTCACTTAAGACATAAACTGTGTTTAAGTGAGTACTGTCGGGCACTTTTGACATGTTTGTGTGTATTTGATCATTTTGACGCACACCCGAAGCCCAAAGTGTACTTTGCTTGTCCGTTTTGGACCCCACAGACAACTCAGCCTGGGGAACAGCGTCTTTCGTGTGGATTATTGTGCTTTCAACGTTTTATCATGTTAACATGTCCCGCAATTTAGCAACAGTAAAGACTTCATTTTACAACAATCACCGATTGTGCTGATTCTGACGTTAATTTTAAAAACGAATGTGAAGGGAAAGAAGCTGCACTAAACGCAGCTAGTTTTTAATAATTGTAAGTGTAAGCAGATGTTTGATTGTTTAGCTCTCCTCTATCATCACAATTAAACAGCGCTTTCATGTTGAGAGCTCTGTAGCTCCTCTGCGAATAACAAAAATGCGTCATAGGCAAAAGTCCTAATATTATTGCATATAAAAACAGCGACTCTTGCGAGATAGAAGTGTTCCTTATTATTTGCTGCTTCAGCAAGATTATTCAACAGCTCTAAACATTTTTTTCCCTATTACAATATATCCAGATCTAAAACTGCCTCAAGCTTTATAACCATCAGCCTCATTAATGAAGAATGAAGAATACACAAACACCAACCTGTTTGTTCTTCAGTATCTTCAGTGTGTTTGATTCTGCAGGGTTCTGGATCTCTCATCTTCTCTCTGTCCTCTTTAATAAACTCAGTCTTTGCAGATTTCAGCTCTTCCTGATGAGTTGATGCTCGTCTTCACTTGTGAACTGATGGAGATATTCCAGCATTTATTGATGAATTACTGTAGGAGGAGTTTCACTGATGACGTGTTGCAGTGGGCAGAGCTTCACTACTAGTGAACATGTGGGAGGAGGAGCTTATCTGCCAAAATCAAAAATACATCACTGAGTTACTGAGTTTGTTTTTATAGTAATAGACAACAGAAAATAAATGATGTAATGCAAATTTAAGTATAAAGAAAACAGTTGAAAGCATAAACTCAGATATAAATGTACAGGCGAACTGCACAGTTTGCAGAGAAGCATTTAATTTCCTTAGCTTTTCAGAGCTTGGTAGATGAGTAACTATTGTATTTGTATTATTAGACAGATAAATACATATATTACAATTAATGTTATATTAATTGATTCATCGTTTATAAATATTAATAATATACAGGCATAATAAAGTATCCTATCCGTCATACATAATGTATTGCATTAAAAGTTTATTTAAATAAAAATGGAACAAATAATTACACAATTATTTGAATCATAATTTAAGCAGTAAATAAGCTAAAAATGTATCCCATCCTGCAGAATTGTCAAAAACGTGATATGTCAGAATGACTGATTTAGGCGCGTCAACTGAAGAGTTGTTTAGAAGTAAATAAAATAATCAAATCTAAATCAAATCTAAAATAATAATAATGCAAGTTCTCATACTTGATCTCATGTTTTCTCATGGTTTATTGTTGAGCTGTTGAATTGTTCTGTTAAAATAATCAGTTCCAAGCCTTTGACAACTTTTTAGCTTTAAGTGTCCATTCACAGAAGATCTGAAGACATCAGCATAATAAATGAGGAGAAAACAGGAACTATTGACATGAAATAAAGAGTCTTTTCAGCAGCTCTGTTAATATTGATGAGCCCCAGACGATCAACACTCATTCAACAAGACATTCAGGATCATCAGCAGATCTATGTATAAAACATAAACACAAAAACAAACACTAAAGTAAATAACTGCCGTAAAGCACCACAATATGAATGTCTAATCTAAATAGTTTGATTTTCTAATAACTATTCATTGCAATGTAATAATTAGATCATTAACATGTTAAAGTTTTGTACAGAAACAAACAATGACCAGAAAACAGCTTCAGATAAGAGCACCACAAAGCAATATTTAATGATTTCAGTGTCGCATTTGATTCATATTTCGCTATATTAACATTTATGTAAGGATGTCTCACGTGGCTCATTATAGGCTCAATGTAACGTTAGCAGTCTCTGTTTCAGTATATTTTAACAAACTAACGGATTTAATCTGCCAAAGATGTCAAAAGTGTAGAAATAAAATGGCAGCAGCAACACTTGAGATCCATTCCCCTCACAGATCTCAAACTTTTTTTAACTTGACATTCAGCAACAGTTCTCGATACAAACATAGAAACAATCGCACGAACGCATAAAAGCTCACAAAATCGTCTGATTTAATTCATCATATTTTCCTCGCATACTCACTGCTGCACTGAATGTTTATTTCAGGAGGAAGACGCCAGAAAAGACCCACAAGTAGCGCTGAACCCGATGAAAACAACACAGAAATGAGCCTGTAAAATGTCGCTTAAACAGACTGTATAAAGTGTGTTTGATAGTTGTGTAAATATGAGAAATACCGTGAACTGCTCGCCTCTCCTCGGGAGACTCTGCTCAGCACACACAGTGAAACTAATCGTCTTCCTCTGAGGTTTAATGGTGTTTGGCAAACAAATGTACAGTATGTTTTAGCGCCACCCGCTGGACTGGAGTGTGAAGCGGAGAGAGGAGGGAAATAATACAGGGAAATAGAGTGGGGGGAACTACAACAAACAACTGCAGTACATTGAAGTACAACTGCAGTACAAAGTAGTATAACTGCAGGACAATGAAGTACAACTGGAGATTTGCAGTATAATGAAGTACAGATACAATATAACTGCAGTTCAGTAATACGAAATGCATGTGAAGATTTCAGATGCAAAAACTTCTAAGTCTGTCTAATTAAATTAATTTTATTTTTATGAGCATTTAAAAAAAAAAAAGCTTATGATAAGGTTCAGTAATTTCACTTTAATGGCAATGAGGTTCTTTTCATTGCCATTAAAATCGCTTGTTAAGTGGTGACGCAAGCAGCACTGTTTCCGGGTCCAAG